GTTTTTGTTTTTTTTCCAGTACTGGGAATCAAACTCATGACCTTGCGCTTGCCAAGCAGGCGCTGGGCCACTGAGCTAAATCCCCAGCCCCTTAAATCAATTTCTTTTTCTAAAATTGTTTTAATTTTTAAAAAAATTTTATTTATTTATTTATTTATTTATTATCACTTTCTAAAAGTTAAATTTTAAGGTTACTTTTTTGGGGGGGGGAACCAGAAATTGAACTCAGGACCTTGCGTTTGCTGGGCAGGTGCTGTGCCGCTTAGCTAAATCCCCAGCCCCTAAAATACTTTTAATACCTTGAAAAAGATTGAAACTGTCACAATTCATCATTAGAGAATTATAGGGTCTGTTTTTCCATATCCTGAACAACTGAAAATTATATATATTATGTGCATGATATGTGGAGAATGATACTAGGGATTGAAACAAGGACTTTTGCACTGAGCTATGTCCCCAGCCCTACCTATCTATATCCCTATGAAAAACAAATTACAATACCTATGCGAAAAGCTGTTACTATAACAGTATTTTATTAGTAGTATTAATACACTCATTGAAACATATATTATCATATATAAACATATGTTCTATCTTTTAAAAATGTTTTTAATAGTTAAAAAGACAATTCACAGTTCAGTACAAACAAAACACTTGACTCCATAGCAAATATACATAATGTACATTTATATGTTTTATATATCATTATATAACTATATAATATACACTTTATATATGTTTTACCTGAGTTTCTGAGAATGCATTATGAAAGAAACCATGATCATAATTTTGTACCTAGGTCTCTTTTTCTATTTAATTACAAAATTCTCATAAACAATTTGAAGCTGCCTAATATGTCATGATGGAGATGAATTATTTGCCTGATCATTCCTCTTCTCTTAATCACTTATATTCAGTTACTTACTTTTCTCATCTATCATTTCTTGCATAAATCTTTTCTCTATTTCTGACTATTTCCTCAGAAAATTTAAAAGAGGAATTAAAGAGATGAAAGTGCGAGCATCTTAGGACTTTGAGTATACATTATGTAACTGAGTTAAAAAGGTTTGTGCTAATTTTTAATTCCTACCAAAAATAATAACTGTCTTAATATATATTAGCTACCATTAGACTACATAATTTTTCTTAAATATATTTTTAAATGATAAAGTGATTTATGTTTGAACACATATAACATTGTAGTACTTTCTTTTCTACCTCTCTTTACCTAAAGTTCCACATGTAATATGTATATATTATTGTTTATGATGAATTTAATTTTTTTACAAATGGATTTATATATATATATGTATATATATATAGCTCTTGGGGATGCATGCTTGTAATTCCAGCACTCTGGAGGATGAGGCAGAAGGATCCCAAGTTCAAGCCTAGCCTAGGCAACTTAGAGAGAGATCCAGTCTCAAAACAAAAACTATAAAAAGGGCCAGGGATGCAGCTCAGTGTTCAACTGTTCAATCTCTAATATTGAGTGGGGAGATACATAGAAATACATCAAAGGAAATTATAAGTAATATAAAAATATACTAAAGGAAGCCGGGTGTGGTGGTGCACGCCTGTAGTCCCAGCACTCGATAGCTGAGGCAGGAGAATAGTGGTGAGTTTGAGGCCAACCTCGGCTACAAAGTGAGCTCCAGGCCAGCCTGAACTGCATAGTGAGACCCTGTGTCAAAAAGACCAAA